TTTTGAAAGTTTACAGGTATATTCCTAGTGTTCCTAGAGAACGATTTTTGGACCCCTTCCCCCGCCCTCCCCCCCCCCTAACAATTTTGTACATGGATCTTACATGTTAGACTGGGATATAATTGACCATGTGGCCGCAGCGTCCGGTCGGGTAGTCTGTCCTGGCCACCTTGCTCGGCCCCCTAGCCTGTCCTATCCGCAGCGCTCGGTCCAGAAAGTGTATTAGCCTAACTTAACCCTAAAATAATGCAATAACTTAAGATTAATGGACTTGTAATAAATTGATAGGAGGGGGGGGGGTCCAAAAATCGTATACGAGGACGGACCCCATACATGTAACAAGATAACTTTGTGCTGAAGAATTTGGACAAAAATTAATAGAAATTGGGCTTATACTGGCAAGCCCCCTCCCCTCTAAACTAATATATTATTAATTTACTTTCCCGACAATTATTAATTTTCCCTCCTAACTTACCGATAAAACATTTTTTTGTTAACTTAAAAGTATTGGGGAAACAAACGATTTTGTTCTCTCATTCCCAAAGATCAACTCAATTTTTAAGAGATGAAATCTTTAACAACATTGGTGATAATTATTCTTATTTTTTAAAAATATTCTTATTTCAGGAATGAAAGTACTGAATCCTCTTTGGAAACCAGGCCAACCCTTCGTAAATTTGATCCTGCTGTTCGTCAAAATTTGACAGATTTCGGCCAGTATGTGGCCGAATGCATGCCCAAGTTCGTTCAGAAGGTTCAGATCACCGCAGGTGATCAAATAACTCTTTACTTACTTTGTGCAATACGCAGGGTGGCCAAAATGTACGGATTGTACGGATTGATTTTTTTTTAACCCTAAAATTGTACGGATTGTACGGATTGCACGGATTGTACGGATTTGTTTTCAAATTGTACGGATTGTACGGATTTTATCCTGGAAAATACACCGTTTTTTTTAAATTTTCACTCATTTCAGCAAATTTTTCATGAAAATAAAAAAAAAATTCTCGTCAAAATGAAGTTAGTTTAACTTATTTTCTGCATTCTAAATAATATTAGATTGATTAATGTTTCAATTGACAATCAAAATTCATTCNATCCTTTATCATGTACCCTGTATCATTTATCCAGTATCCAGTATCATGCACCCAGTATCATGTACCCAGTATTTAGTTTATATATATATGTATGAAGCCAATTTTTTACAGATTGATTCTTGCTGAAAAAGTTTAAACCCTCTTACATGAACTGAACTCAAAGGACAATGAATGAAAAATTGAATTTTAATGTGTTTTTTTTTCAAAAATGGGATTTTTTTCGAAAATTGTACTGATTGTACAGATTTTTTAAAAAAAAATGTACGGATTGGTTTTAAAAATTGTACGGATTTTACGGATTTTTTTAAAAAAAATTGTACGGATTTATTTTTCGAAAATTGTACGGATTGTACGGATTTCTCCTGAAAATGTACGGATTTTTGTACGGATTTGTTCAAAAAAGTTTTGGCCACCCTGAATACGCAATTTAATACAATTTAATAACACATCTATAAGATAATAACGTATAAATGCATAAAATGATATTATATGGGAATTAAAAAATGACAATAATACAATCAAAATTTAGTAAGTCTAACCTATATTTCCGGATCTCTGAATGGGTCATCAAGTTAAAGCATAAAAATAAGCGAAAAAAAGAACTATTTTGAAAATTTTGCTTTGTTAATAAAAATCTATGAATCAGAAATTCAGTAAAGAAATGTTCATGACCTGGATCCGGATTCGCATCTAAAATAAATGGGACCTTAGTACTGTTAAAACACATTTTTTCGATGGGAATTACACGCAATTGTTCTGTCAAGGTGATGAACTAGAGATCTTGATTGCTCCCAACGGAGTAGTTCCTGTTATGTCCTTCCTAAAGAACCATACAAACGCTCAATTCGGCAGTCTGGTCGATATTGCTGGGGTGGATATGCCAACCAGAGAATACAGGTATATAGTTGATACCAGTGATTCGGATCCGGATCCGGTCGGATCCGGATCCGTATCAGGAAACGTTGATATGGATCCGGGTAGCGCCAAAAATTAACCAAAACCATGGAATAAATAAATCAAACTGGTTCGTAAATGTATTATTTACATTTTACATGACGAAAATTTTTCAAAATTATCTTTAATAATTTAATGTTTACATTTATATAACAGTAAATTAATGACGACATTTTATAAATTATAACCTTGCATAACATTTAATAGGGAAAATCCGATTCACAGAATCAAAAGTTACCTCGGATCCGGATCCGGATCCGTATCAGGATCCGGATCCATCATCACGGATGCGGATCCGCGGATCCGGATCCGGATCCGAATAACTAATGATAGATTAATAAAACGCTTATCTTTGAATGCAGTTTTGCATAAAAGTAAAAAAAAAAAAAAAAACAAGAGGGATTGAAAAATTTTCATTTCTTAAAAAAAAAACAGTAACTAATCAAGAAATGTTCAGGATCTGGATTCGGATGCATCTTTTCCAGTGCGGATCCCCATTAAATTGAAAGCACTGAAAAATTCAATTACAAATGATCGCAATTTTTCCCACTACGTGTTATTTATTGTTTTTAATCAATTAAAATGTGTAAACTAATAATTGATTTGTTCAGGTTTGAGATTGTTTACAATCTATTGAGCTTCAGATTCAACTCAAGGATCCGTGTTAAGACCTACACGGACGAACTCACACCCATCGAGTCCGTCAACGACATTTTTAAGGTCAGCTTTACGAACTGTTTTTATTTAAATAATTACCAACTCTCAATCCCCCCCCCCCCCTATCCTCTCTCCTAAAATCTCGAAAAGGTAAAGATGAAATGGAAATGCTTTTCCAGATTAGAAACGACAGTATCTTTCTCATGGTTGCATTAAGGGTACTGTTGTGTGCTTAGGATTCGTTGGATCCGCAAGATTTTGGCTTCCTGGATCCGGATCCGCGAAAACATGTGTATCAAGGGGCAAAATGTCCAATCAAAAACTGCAAAAAAAAAATCTTTTTTCTCTCAATATCCAAATTTGAACCGATGAAAAAAGAAATTATAATAATTTCCTGATTTCTGAATGGTTCATCCAGTTTTAACATGAAAGAAAGCGAAAAAATGAAACAAAAAATTTGAAAATTTAGCTTTGTTAAAAAAAAATCAGCAAATCTAAAAGAAATGACGTGGATCCGGAGCCTGGATCTGCACTTGAATAAAAGGATCCGAATCCAGGTCATTTCTTTAAGATTTACTGAATTTTTACTGAATCCGCACTGGAAAAAATAAATCTGCATCAAAATTAAATGGATCCTATAGCACTGGACTCACTTGTGAATCAGGCATGCAAATCTTTTTAGATTTGAAGTATCTTAAAAGTTTATATTACGTCCAAAGTTCTTTTTTCCATTTTTATTAAACTTCCATTTTTTGGAATCGTGATCGTGAAATGTTTCTATTTTAGGCCGCTAACTGGAATGAACGTGAGGTTTGGGATATGTTTGGAGTATACTTCACAAACCATCCAGATCTTAGAAGGATTCTCACAGATTACGGGTAAACCAGCATTTTATTAATAAACTAGTTTATATAAATAATATTAAAGCACTGAAAACTGATAATTACCTATTGCGGTATTTCTAAAAAAGTGGCTTTCGTATGTGAATTTGGGATGCAGCTCATTAAGTGGAGGGTCACTTAAGCAATATCTGACTTTACTAGAGCGAAGCTAGATTTGACATGTCTATGCTAAGTTTAGATTATTATTCCATTTGTTCTGAATTATTCTAATTGATAATGTGGTATCATTATACTTTGCTTGTCTGTTTGTTTGGGTTGGTGTTTGTTTTATCTAATAAATGTCAAAACCTCATATGACCTCAGGGTAGGTTTATGGATAATCAAAATTTCAAAAAATAGCATCAAACAAAATTCGAATTTCATTTAATTTTGAAAATCCAAACAAATAAAAACAAAGAAAAAAAATTCCCAATAAAAATAGAAGATGAGCGCGGAACACCCTGAAAGTTTACATTATTCAAGAACTGAGTTGTCTACCATTAATTAAAAATAAATCTTGATAGGTTTGAGGGACATCCACTGCGTAAAGATTTCCCCCTTACTGGATACGTTGAATGCAGATACGACGACGAACTCAAGCGTGTTGTTCAAGAACCCGTGGAACTTGCACAGGAGTTTAGGTAGGATACATGAGCTTAGGTAGGACACATGAGCTTAGGTAGGATACAGGAGTTAAGGTAGTATACAGGAGTTTAGGTAGGATACAGGAGTTTAGGTAGGATACAGGAGTTTAGGTAGGATACAGGAGTTTAGGTAGGATGCAGGAGTTCAGGTAGGATACAGGAGTTCAGGTAGGAAACAGGAGTTCAGGTAGGATACAGGAGTTCAGGTAGGATACAGGAGTTCAGGTAGGATACAGGAGTTCAGATAACAGTTCGATTTGATTTCAATAGGTAAACATGTAAAAAAAAATCAGTCCTGGTAGGAGAGGTTTGGTTTCGGTTAATGAACCCCTTGGTCCAAAATAAGACGCAATTAATCTTTAACAAAACTTTTCAGAACAAAAAAATTGTTTAGGAAGTTTGACTTGGCTGCTCCATGGGAACAGTTTCCCGCATTCAGAGAACAGCTCCCGGCCGCTGAAGAAGTCCCTATTACGGAGAAGAAGTAAACCTTCTCAGTTCCCTTGGTCAGAAGTATTTTCAAACATTGATACACTAGCCAGAAATAAAACAGATAACATCAGTGACTCTTCAGCAAAATTCTGTTTGAAAATATTATGATGAAATTAGTCAGATAACTATTTATGATGATGATATAAAAATGGTAAAAAACTGATTCAATCTTGACATTTTTGTGTTGAACCATCTCCTTCTCCTACTCTAACTCTATCTACTTCCTGAGGTTAATGTTTAAAGATTGTTTCAGAAGACAATGCTGTGTTCACGCTTAATCCAGGGAAGTCATCTAGCCAGGGCCGGTCTCAGGTACAAATACTTTAAGTATTATTATTACATATTATTACTGCGAGCGAAAAGTAAATGTCTTTCTTAAATCTCCTATTCCATCACCATTCAGTCGCACTGAGTTAAACTTAAATCCTACATTTTTAAGTTACATTTTGGGCTCAGTCGTCGAAGTCAAGTGTTATTTTAAAAAGTTTCGTCCTCTTTCATAAATATTATATATTACATTCATAATTCATATTTGTCTAAAGCAAAATTACATTAAACAATATAAAAGTTTACAATTTAATACTAATACTCTTTTTTGGATATCGCATTTTATAATAAATATATAATCAATTAATTGACAGGGTTTGCCAAAAAAAAAAACAGGTGCAATACAAGACTTTTAGCATGAGTATAGTTCAGCTATTCAGAGGTGGTTTTCAGAATGGGAGTCTCTTGGTCCCAGTTTAGTGTTTTCCGTTTTCTAAAAAAATGCCGTATTATTACAGGACTGCAAGGCTTGATAAATTTTCGCACTTCGCTTTGAAACTTAACACTGGGTTTGCTGAACTTAGCATTTTCTTTAGATTTGCTTTATTTGATGGTGAGATATATCCTTTTGAGGCAATTTCAAAAGGATCAACAGACACATCCCTAGTTGTTTTATCTGTGATAAAATATTCATATTTGTTTATCTTTAGAGTGTTTGCATTTTGGATATTCGTTTCCAATGGAACAGTAAGCTCAAAAATATTAATATTATAATATTATTTTATCTTACTTTCCTATATTTAAATAGTTGGAAAGGAATTTTTTTTAAATGCTTATTTTTTATTTTTACCATCAAATTCTTGATTTTTCAAAATGTGGATATTAAAAAAAAGATCGCCATTTTTCCTTGTTCTTAATCACGGTTCAAAATACAAAAAAAAATTATCCAGATGTATACCGAATTCTATAAATAAAATTAAAATTTCTTTTAAATCATATTATTTCACCGGAGGATTTCCAATATTTGCACGGAATAAAACTTGAATCCTCCATTTCATCTCATTACATCTTGGACTAAGTCGTCGAAGTTAAGCTATTTAATAATTACAGTTTACCCCAGAACTTCGGAAACAGTGAAAGAATCAATAAAATGTTGTATTCTGAACTTACTGATAAAGCAGCAGCTATTAAGATTTTAAGTGAAGAATTATATGGAACACTTTAAACTGTTCTTGCACATTTAATGGCTATTTATTTATTTCTCAACTACTGAAAAATTTTGGTTTAAACTGTAAATTGTTTTTAACATTTTATGTTATTTTATCTTTCCCACATTTTAATAGTTGCAATTCTTAAAAATTATTTCATTCCTTTTTTTTCCACAAATTGAATTAAAAAAAAATGTGGATATACAAAAGAAAGATTATCTTTTCCCTTGTTCTTTAATTGGTTAATAACGGTTTGAAGTAGAAAAAAAAATTTATAAAAAATATTGCTATTTTAAATGCAAAGAAATTGTAAATCAAAATTGTTTTTACCCAAATCCTTTCACCGGATGTATCTCGGATTCGAATTTAAGTAAAATAAATTTTTAGCACTCTTAAAATCATATTATAACCTAAGGTCTGGCCTTCTCTCCCCAGCTTCAGTTCTTCCAGCTACATCATTCTCAACTACCATTGCTAAACGCAGGTAGACATATTCTTCTCTAAAGAGACTGTAAGTGTAATTTCAAGAGTCTCTCAATGCCAAGGTGACAAAGCTTAAGTCACAACGGTACCCTTAAATGCTTTTTATGATCAATTATGAAATAGTGTTTCTTTAAGTTCGGTTTATTTTCATTTACCGGTTCTCTGCAAAAATGACCTGCGCATTCCTTGCTGGTAAGATGCAATGAAGAAATTATTAAAATTAAACATTTGTCAAGTCAAAAAAACGACGGTATCTTCCACATTTTTTATCAGATTTTATTCAAGGGTACCGTTGTAAATCGGGCATTGCGATCTTTTGCACGGAGGGTCACTTAAAATTCCACTCACTGTCCCTTTAAATTGAAGTGGGAGTGGGGGGGGGGGGACCTTAAAGGAATTAAACTAATATTGGAAAGTTGAAATCCTGAAATTAATGTTTTTATCATGAAATATTTACAAAGATTTAAAAATGGATAAAATCTTTTTTTTAAATTTGTCTTGTTTTTGACATCCACTGCACTCCCTCTCCCCTTGAGTTGAGGAACGGGTTAAACTAAACCTTTCAAACCCAATTTCTAAATTTCCACAACCACGTTTATTTTTGCCAAATGTAAAAACATTCAAAAAAGTTATTAGGTTATTTCAAAATGTCAAATTCTAGACAAAAAAGGTTATTCTCGAAAAGTTTTTTTAACCCTGACTTTTTGGACTTATCAGAGCCGAAGATGGGAAATTTTGCAACTGTGTCAGTCTCTCAAGTATATCTTTTAATGGAAATATAGCCCCGATGGCGGTCTGGGCTTTCCAAGATGGGGGGTTTTCAGATCTAATTCTTATCTGATAACTCTATATTTTAATAGACTTATAATAATAGGCTTCACCCACACTTCTCTATTTACAGCATTGGAACTTAACTGGATGGGAGGGCATTTGCAATCCTGATATCCAGTAATTAAGGGTTGACCGCTATTTATCTAGTTCTGGTGACCATGTCCGTATGTGGACTGCTGAACGTGCAGTATCTCTAGCTCAGATCCCAGCCTGTATAATTCCATTCCTCTACACTACTCCCCTCACAGATGCACTCTTTTGTACATTGGCTGTACTCCACTCACATTGGGGTATTGAGGTACGTACACTATAATATTCCTGTACACTTCTCCACTCACAGATGCACTCTTCTGTACATTGGCTGTACTCCACTCACATTGGGGTATTGAGGTACGTACACAATAATATTCATGTACACTACACCACTCACATTGCATTGGGGTATTGAGGTACGTACACTATAATATTCATGAACGCTACTCCACTCACATTGGGGTTTTGTGGTACGTACACTATAATATTCATGAACGCTACTCCACTCATATTGGGGCATTGAGGTACGTACACTATAATATTCCTGTACACTTCTCCACTCACAGATGCACTCTTCTGTACATTGGCTCATGGCTGTACTCCACTCACATTAGGGTATTGAGGTACGTACACAATTATATTTATGTAATTCATGAACGCTACTCCACTCACATTGGGGTATTGAGGTACATACAATATTATATTCCTGTACACTATTCCACTCACAGATGAACTCTTCTATACATTGGCTCATGGCTGTACTCCACTCACATTGGGGTATTGAGGTACGTACACAATAATATTCATGTACACTACACCACTCACATTGGGGTATTGAGGTACGTACACTATAATATTCATGAACGCTACTCCACTCACATTGGGGTATTGAGGTACATACAATATTATATTCCTGTACACTTTTACACTCACAGATGTACTCTTCTGTACTTTTTGCTCATGGCTGTACACCACTCACATTGGGGTATTGAGGTACGTACACATGTACGTACACTATAATATTTATGAACGCTACTCCACTCACATTGGGGTATTGAGGTACATACAATATTATATTCCTGTACACTTCTCCCCTCACAGATGCACTCTTATGTACATTGGCTGTACTCCACTCACATTGGGGCATTGAGGTACGTACATTATAAAATTCATGTACACTACTCCACTCACATATGCACTCTTCTGTACATTACATTGGCTGTATTGGGGTATTGAGGTACGTACACAATAATATTCATGTACGCTACTCCACTCACATTGGGGCATTGAGGTACGTACACAATAATATTCATGTACACAACTCCACTCACAGATGCACTCTTCTGTACATTGGCTGTACTCCACTCACATTGGGGTATTGAGGTACGTACACAATAATATTCATGTACACTACTCTACTCACATTGGGGTATTGAGGTACATACAATATTATATTCCTGTACACTATTCCACTCGCATATGCACTCTTCTGTACATTGGGCTTGTACTCTACTCACATCAAGGGGTATTGAGGTACTTACACTGTACACTGTACATTATGCTTTTCTTTACTTAATCTTCCATTTCTGCCGTCTGCAGATTTTAATCCTTGTCTTGCCATTCCCTGCTGAGAAGAAAAGATGAAAAATTCTCGTTTTGTATTAAATGTTAAAACATTTCATTGAATTTCTTTTTAAATGGACAGTTAAACTAATTTAAAGGAACCCAACCGTTCAATTAGCCCTAATCATAACTGTACGCTTTACACCTTTGTGTGAGCAACAACTAAACTGAAACAAGATATTATCGTGAAAAAGAACAAATTCTGCCCCTTTCCTTGTTTGTCGCATAAATATGCAAGTCACTTAAAAAGCTTTTAATATTTAAATTTGAAAAACAAAGATTTCACCATTTTTTTGTTTAGTCAAAGGTTTTATCCATCAATTAATTATATTTAACGAATATATTTCTCTGATAATTTATTTATTTCTGTATTTTTACCAGGCGATCGTTGTTGATTACATCAGACCCTCTTTGTTCAATGGAAGCACTGTCATTCCCAATATTGCTGTCGGGTAAGGGTCTTGATTAGATTATTTTTTAAATGATTTTAAGTTTATATCTTGCAAAATACCTTTTCCTTAAAGAAGGAATTAAAGCAACTTTAAAAATTTTGTTAAAAAATACATTTTCTGTTCCTAAGAGAATAAATGAACGAAGCCAAAACATTTTTGGGATAATTTTTGGTTTAAGCGGTTGTAACCCGAAATCCACACTGTAAAACAATAAGTGGAAATTCGCAAAAAAAACGCCGAAGAAAATAAAAACTCACCTGTTAAGTTAACCCTATCCCTGCTGGGGTACTTGAAAATCAGGATACAGTGGAGGGGGGTCAGTTCGACCCCCCTCCCCCTCTAAATCCCATGTTTAATGTCTAAATATAACAAATGATACATCATTGGAAAGCTCTTGTGCTCTACTTTCAAAATTTGTCAAAAAAATTGCAAATTTTCAGAAATTGAATTTTTTTGCAAAATCCAGTTAAATAGTAAAAATGTTTGCAAATAAAATGTCCAAAGAATGATAATTTATACATTTTTGAAAAAGCACTTGGCCATACCATTTCAAATATGCAAAAAAATCGCACAATTTTATGTAACCTAATGTGTAACTAAGAAAAATAAAAAATGTGCAAATTTCCTTTGACGGGTCGTATGCAAATATTTTGCAAAAATTTTCTTTGCAAAACTTGTGCAATCCGTTTCCTTTTAAAGGCTTTATAAAAATCTAAAAGTTACCAAAATCTGACAACTTAAAATGGGTCAAAACAAAGATTTTGTTTGTTCCAGGAAAAAGGAGTCATTCAGGCAGTGTGCCTGAGGCCATAGGCAGTTTGTATAAAAGCCCGGTTTTAGACCTATAGGGAGGGCTATGGTTCTTATCTTATCTATGGGTATTTAGGAAAAATCAGAAAATTACTTTTTGCGTTATGTGAAAAAAACTACCGGGGGAGGGGGTTAAATGGACCGCCCCCCCCCCAGCAGGAGTAGGGTTAAACTTTCAATGCGTGGGAGCGCTGAAGTCACAAATTTAAGATCAAACGTTTTGCCCTTAGATAAAAAAGTTAAGAAGACAATTTATTTTAAATTCTATAAAACCAGGAACGGTTAATTAGTAAATACTTTTTTATTTGTATCCCACTAAATTGACAGCTTATTCAGATTGAGTCTAGTTCTGTTTTTTAATTTTTCTTTATTTTCAACTCTTTAGGTATTTTGTAACACATAATAATTATGTTAATTGTTTAGTTTGGTCTGGGCTCTGTCAGCGTTCACTCTAGGTGCTCTATACTACTTCAACTACACTGATGTTGGTATCGTCAACGCTATCAAGATGCTGTGGAAGCTCTAGAAGGATATGCCGAGGAATAAAGGAGTTGACGAGCATGAACTAAATAATATATAGTCGGTTTATTCAGTCAAATTATAAATGTTATGGTACAGCTTTCAGCAACATGTACAAACAAGTTTTATCAAGAAATCGGGAGTAAAGGGGGGGGGTTTCTTTACTTGGTCTGGTATTAAGAAAAGAATACGTTTAACAAAGTAACAAATGGTCTGGATTTAAATACAAAATTTATTACATTTTTACTTGGACACCCTGTCTATATTGTTGAAGGGTTTATCAAGGTGCACCCTATAGTGACACACAAGGCCAAAGTATCCGTGAAAAGTAAAATATTTATTGCAGATATTGAAAATGGGAATACCGAGGAAAAAGGAAGAAACCAGCTTACAGAGTTTAGCAAGCTTTCTAAAAAATATACCAAACCTACCCAGAGTAAGTATCGTTGAGAATTAAATTTATTGTTACCTTAAAGACGAAATTTGTAGAATTATCTTGGTATCCAACAGAGGTTTATCTCTTCTTAAAAAAAATTAACCCCTACTCTCAAAACTAGTTTAATTTTGTTTGACTTCTGATTTTCAAGTACCAGAAAGTATTAGAAAGGGACAAAGACTTATGAGTTGATGTCCAATTTTTCACAAAAATTGAATAAGTACGTGACTAATTAAATATTTTTATCACCAAAAACTTAAATTTTGAGGAAAATGATAAATATAGATTGAATAAGTTTACAGAGCTTGGCAAACTCCTTTCTCCCCTGCCTAATATGAGAGGCGGGGGTCAATTATTGAAATTATTTACCCCTCTGGCTTTGTGAGTGTATTGAGAACTATGGATTAGGAAGACGTCTTTTGATGATTTTAAATAGTCAAATGAACATGCGACACATTAATTTGACATTCAAACTGAAACAGTGGTTTTTAGCTACTATCGCTCAGCTGTTGCGTATTTTGAGCTACTATCGTTCAGCTGTTGCGTATTTTGAGCTACTATAGTTCAGCTGTTGCGTATTTTGAGCTACTATAGTTCAGCTGTGGCGTATTTTTTGAGCTAACATCGTTCAGCTGTGGCGTAACAACATCAAATGCACTCGAATATTGCATCAACGTCGTTTTCGTATTCCACAGTTTTCTGGTTCTCTCTGTATCGTGTTATTTCTATTTTCTATATATTTACAGAAAAAGTTGTTTGGACTGACCGGGTTGATGTTTGTTTCAATTTATGGTTTTGGATACCTATTCTCCGACTACCGAAAGTATATTCATAGAAATATGTAAGTCTACATTGGGACCCATAAGTTTGTGGAATTAGAAGACGACCGTTAGATTCTACGTTTTTGAATGAACATGAAACACACCAATCGTTCAGTGCACACAGTCCTATTCATTTATTCGACCTCCTGGTACAACTAATTACTTTTAACTTACTCAAAACACGCATAAAGTTGCTTAATGTCGTTTTCCACAGTATTATGGGTCCCACTGCATGCTGCACCTTTATATAATTGACGCTTTATGTCGGACTTATTATTAAGAATCTTGACCTTGGGGTTTATTAAACAACTTTATATTTTGAGCTGTTTCTTTACTTTAGCGTAGCTAACAAACATTAGGGGGTACAGCACAAAAAATACTAAGAAATCAACCTGGTTCAAATCTTTTTGGAAAAATAAGTTATTTAATTTCACTAGGCTTTTTCCCGCCCATCTGTTTATAATTGTGAGCATATTCTCTTTGTACAATATAAAACAATAACAAAAAAATTCGCGTAAATGCTAATATTTTTTCGCGTTTCAAATTTTAATTAAGATCAAAAACTTTTGGACAGCCATAAACCTTCACTGGAGTCATGAGGTTCCACACAAAATTTGGGCCCAATCGGTTCAGCCGTTTTGACGTTTATGGGATACAAACGGACAGACAGACAGACAAGCAAAGTTAATACATATATATTAAAGATGGTAATCTCATTCTATTGTGAAAATTCTTTCCAAAAATATTTATTTGACTGTGTACACTTTAGCATGTGTACTCAATACCCTGAAATCAGATGTTACCCAGATGTTTTCTGCTTTCTCTTGGATTGAGGCCAACATGTATTCTGTACTGAACTCCACCATTAAACTTGATACTAGTTTAAACACTTATTTTTCAGCCATTTTAGAAACTTAGTACATTTAACATTGTTCAAGCGTATGGTGGTTGTGAATTTTTTTCTGCAATATGTTTAAAATAAAATTTTTGGTTTAAACATTTTTTTGCATAGCGTCTTAGATCATTATATCCAGAGCTTGGAATCCATTTCATTTTGATCGACCTGGATACTTCCATGGCCTCAGGCCATGTAAATTTCTTCAAGATTTACTGATTTTTTTAGCAAATGATGAATTATCACAATTCGTTCTTTTCTGCTTATTTTTATGCGAAAAATTTATGAAACTTTAATAATTTCGCAGTTAAAGACGTTCTTGTGCTTCGAAAACCTGGGCGTCGGCATTTAATAAAAACTTACTGCATCTTATTTTTTACTTAAAAATAATTGGTCGCTTTAATTCGTCATATAATATTTTAATTACATTAATAGTTTTTTGTCTACGATCTTAATCATCTCTTGCATCTCGTGATGTCCACAAATTCTAACTAATGAAGGTCATCAAGTACAAGTGAGAAGTTGAAGGCTTTAATGATAATATGCTAAAAATCAATGTTGGTTGTAACTGTGTAATTGTTGATCTTAATGCGTACCATGGAACTTTTCATATTTCATTTTATTTAGTATTATCCGTGAGCTGGAGAAGGTTCGATCAGATATCACGGTTTCCGAGATTCATTTTGGAGGTAGAAATAAACCCTTCTCCAATGACTATGGACTAGACTACCCGGAGAAGGGGTCGGAGAAGAAATCTTGAGAACGGAAATAAACAGTATTGTAACCTCGGATTGGAGTCAAGTTCTAAATTGAGAAAGATAGTACAACATCACGAGGAGATGCTATAAATATCACTTGAACGAACTTCGGGTTTTATTTTTATTTTTCTACAAAATATTGTGTTTTTCTCGATCAAGAATTTCCCTCAAAAGTAAAATGGCTGTGATTTTAGTCTAATTAATATTTATTTAATTTCAGATAAATCTCCGAAATAAAAATGGCCGGTGGAGCTGAAGCTGAATTTACTGGACTCGCCAAGCACTTCAACTCCTTTACTAACACTGGAAGAGCTAATGTTGCAAAGGTATAAAAACGGAATTAAAGAAAGCGGCAGGTTTATTAATACTATTTGACTCAACTTCTTAAAGGAACTTTCGATGTTATTTTTAGTAACCATTTATTTAAAGGACATGTCCGATTCACATTAGTGCCCTAAAATCTTTATCTGATCAATAATATTAAAGTTATCTTTGTTTTTCTAACTTAAAAGTGTTTTCCCAATACAATTTCTCCATTGTTTCTGTTGCAAGAAATCCAGAACTTACTGCAGAGAATTTAAATAATTCTTTATGAGAAATAAATGTTTATTCTTAGCCTCGATTTTTTATTAGCGCGACGGTCGAATTAAGAGTTTTTCCAGTTCACTTTGAAATTTTCAATAATTTTCAAGATTAGAAATTGTAATATACACAACAGAGTACAGGGGTGTTTGTTTTCTTGAAAAATATTTTTTTCCTCGTCTCTGGAAATAACTTTTTCCCCAGATGTTAGACATGTTTTATTTAGGGTACCGCTGAAATGTGTAATAAAAATTACAAGGAAAAAATAATTTTTGGGTTTAAATTATCAAATTTGAAGAAGAAAAAAAACTTGCCATTTGATGTCCCAATTTTTTTTCTTCCTCGAGCAAAAAATACACCCTTGACGCAAAGTCCGATTTTCTAATCTCTAAATCCAACCCAATGTCACAGATCTTTGATATTTCAAACTTTAAATTTTGTTAGATCAATAAGGTCTACACTCTACAACATTGAGTTGCAGAGATATAGGGATTAGAAAATCAGATTTTGTGGCAAACTCCCAATTCCTTTGTAATCAGCGTTTCGGATCCGGATCCGGTCGGATCCGTATTATTTGGTCGGATCCGGATCCGTATCAGGAAACGTTGATATGGATCCGGGTAGCGCCAAAAATTAACCAAAACCATGGAATAAATAAATCAAAATGGTTCGTAAATGTATTATTTACATGACGAAAATTTTTCAAAATTATCTTTAATAATTTAATGTTTACATTTATATAATAGTAATGACGACATTTTTAACTTTAGGATTACTATAGTTTATAAATTATAACCTTGCATAACATTTAATAGGGAAAATCCGATTCACAGAATCAAAAGTTACCTCAAATCCGGATGATCCGGATCCGTATCAGAGTCAGGATCCGGATCCATCATCACGGATGCGGATCCGCGGATCCGGATCCGGATCCGAATCAAAATGATATGGATCCGAAACACTGTTTGTAATAATATATTTTTCATTTCAAGAAAAGTTTTCCCAAAAAAAGTTTAAATCCATCGGTAAAAAGTCTGATTAAAGATTTGGAACTAATAAATAATAAACTTTGTATTTGTTCAGGCGACCTACTGCGCCATCTTCCTGATCTACGCTGGGAACAAGATCAGGAAATCTGTCTCCGCAAAGTGAAGCATTTTACCATGACGAGTTCTCAACCTTTCTCCCATGATTCTCATCAAACACAATTTTATCCCAGTTTTCAATATTCTCATTATTTATTAATTATATCTCGTTGAGAACTCATGAATACATTAGTCAATGTTTAGAATAAACAAATATTCCAGATACAATGGCTGCCGCTAAGCAAGCAATTAAACTTGGCCCCGCTCTCAGGTATGTCATTATACATAACAGCTGTTGGAATTAATAAGCGAGAAAAAGGTTGAATTAGCCAAGGTTTGTTCAACTCCTGTTCAATTTGATCTCTGTTGAGTCAAAAGGTAAGTATTAAAACAACTCGCAGCTAGCTCAACTACTACTTTCTTTTCATAAATTCCGATCTGGGATTACTTAAATTACAAAAATTAACAACTTTGTTTATTTTGATTCAATTTTTTTAGCAATCACTCATTATCTTATTTTAAAGCGAGTTTTGTTCATGACCTTTAACCAACTTGAAATTATTTTCTGACAAATCGGTTCTGTAAAAATTGAAAATACAAACTAAACCTGTCTGACATAACTTGTAATATTTCCGATAGAGAAACGCGTATTACTACACCACTTGACGCGCAAGTCGTTCTTGCAAGAAAACATTAGATTCTCTGTCCTTCTCACTCTGTTTAAAGGAACTGAAAGCGTAATTTCAAGTGACCCTTCATGCAAAAATGATAATGCCCGATTCACAACGGTACCTTTAACCCTTTATCTTGTCATTAATGTGAAGTATATTATCGGTATTCGGTTTTCTAGGTTTAAAGTCTTATTCTTAAAAATAATTCTGTAGTAGAAATGCGCGAGTCACTTTTGTATAGAAACTACAATTGAAAATAGACAGTTTTCAAAATTATAAGCATTACTATTTAATTAACTTGAGCAGGCAAAGCTTTTTAGGGTAACGTTGTGAATTCGGCAATGTCTTCATTCACTTGAAATGACGCTTACAGTCCTTTAATTACGTTGCTTTTCATTTTAATTTTTAATATTTGTAGAGAAATTCGTCTTCATCTGTGCCAGAAATCAGCTGCCAGCAAGGGAGCTCGTGACTTTGTAGAGAAGCATTATGTTCCTCTTAAACAAAATAACCCTAAGTAATATTTACATTTTATTTTCTACTTGACGTTATTATTTAAGTTTTTATGTTAATGTTTGTTCCGTCTTAAAATATTATCAATTCGGATTCTTTTCTTTCAACTCTATGACAAAGAAAATGGTTTTCATTCAAGATGTCCAAAATGTTGAATGTTTGATAAATATTTTATAAATTTTAGTTTTTTAGTCGGTTATTAAAATAGTTAGGTTATAGTTTGGAATCCTCGGAATTAATTTAAGTGTTATAGGATTAAACGTAGAATTTAACATAAACTAAATATGTGTTATTCACTTTTGTTTTACATGTGATTCTATAATTCTCTTATTTATGGATAAAACAAATTAAAAACTTTCTGTATGGAAAATGTATTAATGAAAAGGGAGGGAAATGTATACAGAAAAAAATGTTCCCCGAATAACTTAGTAAAATATTGTTCAAAATGGCAATTTTAAAGCGGTCACACTTTTATGTTTTAGACTCTATTAATATTCTTTGTTTTTACCCCATGACACTTTCAGTGATTTGATATTTTTTAAGAGATTATGAGCCAGAGCTTAGGATCCGGATCCAGATCCTTTGGATGAGCAAGATTCTGGCTTACTGGATCCGGATCTGCAAATTATGTGGATCCACGGATCCAGATCCAAGGAGCAAAATATCGACCAAAAACTGCAAAAAAATGTACTTTTCAAACCTAAAATCAAACTTTCGAAAAAAGAGAGGTTATTAAAATTTCCTGATTTCTGAATGGTATATCTAGTTTTAGCAGAAAAATTTGCGTAAAAAATAGACAAAAATTGCAAAATTCTGCTTTTTTTAAAATTCAGTAAATCTTATAGAAATGACCTGGATCCGGATCCATTTTTTCCCAGTCCGGATCCGCATCAAAATTAAATGGATCCTAAGCACTGCTATGAGCGTAATTTCAAGTGCCCCTCCTGCCCAACTTTCAACGGTGCCCTTGAAACTTTAATCTGAAAAAACTGTTGAAGATATCGTCGTTTTCCTGCCTTGAAAAGGATTTCCTTTCTGACAATTTCTCAACTAATTCTTTTAAACAAGAAAGTTGTAAGTCACTCTCGCAAAAATCCTGCAAATGAAAACAAACAGTTTAAAGAAACAAAAAGATGAATATCTGATTAAAACTTAATCAGACAAAGCTTATAAGGGTTCCGTTGTAAATCGGAAATAAGATTTCGCTTACTGCCCCTTTAATTAATAATTAAAAACTATTTTAGATTTCCAATCCTCATTCGTGAGTGCAGTGGTATTCATCCTAAACTTTGGGCCAGGTACATTCAAACACACTTTTTTATAGTTCTGGTCGTCTTTCTTTTCTTAATGTTAGGATAATTTTACTTGACACGCTTGGGAACCGTTCTTTGCCTTAAAACTAAGTTTTCCCAGTATAAATAAATAAGAATTTTTAAACAAAGCTTAAACCATTCCCGTGGTTCTACGGAGTTTGTCAATCAAAGTTTAAGGCAAACTGACGAGGGGTGCATGATTTATGATCGGACATCCAAACTAACAAACTACTTTATATAGATGATTAAAAGATTATTTTTCTCTTTTGCAATGATAACATTTTTAACTTAAGAAAAAATCAAAGATATTGTAATTAAGCGTGGTCGGTTACCAAAGCGTTATTTGTGTTCAGATATGGATTTGGTCGGGAATCATCTGTAGATTTAACCGGGAAATCAGCGGACGAGGTCTATATGGAGATTGCCAAGCTAGAAAATTAAAGACGGGCACGATTATTCAGTTAGATTATTCTAGTGATTATTATGATTAATAATAATTTTAAGTACAAAATTTATTTATTCAGTTAAGGCATTTGCGTCAAAAATAAAGTTTATTTTTGTATTTTTTAGTTTTAACTTATTTTTAGTTCAAAGAAGCCATTACCCCGTAAAGATACGATGCGGCCGAGTTTGGCTTTATTCCTTTCTGGTATTTGAAAGGAAAAGGCAAAATTATTGGCCGTATAGATGAAGTGTTTTGAATCATTTTTATTTACAATGAGAGCTAATTTTTTTTTAATCAATTAAGGGAATCTGTTGAATATTTTAAAGAGAGAGCTTTTGTTCAAGTCATGGTTGAAAAGACATTATGCTAAACCAGTACCATATAGGATAGTGTATCTTTCGACCTACGCAAATTCGCTATACTTCACTTCTGACCTACGCCAAATCCACTTTACTGCACATCCGATCTACTAGCCCGTAGTTTTATAGCTGCTATATGAACTTATGGCCGCAGCGCTTGGCCTGTCCTAGCCGCAGCGCTTGGCCCAGAAATTGTCTTAATCTATCCTATACAAAAATAATCAGCTGGGGTAGGTCGGAAAGTTAGTAGGTCAGAAGTTCAGTAGGGGGATGTTGCGTATAGACGATGTAACATTACCGTCACGATATTGTTAAGAAGCCTATCTTTCAACCTTTATTTTTCAACATGAGGATTATAAACTTCGAAGTCCAAGTCTGGTATTATCTAGATTCTTTTTACAGAAACATAGGATGGAAATAAATGTTGTCCCAGTCGATTCATGATTAAATTTTAGTTTCTTCTTATCTATTTTCTGGAACAAAAAGGTAAAAAGTGATTTGATCGAGGTTTGGTGAGTCGAGCTATTTTTATATTGATTTAAAACTCACGAAACCTTGACTGCCTGTTTTGTGCCCATTGATATTCCTGGCTGCCGGTCCTATCATTATCTTCTTTATGATTAACATCCGTTTATGGAAGATTGTTGGCCTGCGCTCTGATTGGCTGACCCAAATAGTTGCTGGATTCTGATTGGCTGATCAATAATAGCATCCAATAGATTAAATTCAATGCTGACACGAGATGATGTAGTGCTGGGTGTTTGTATGCTAGTATAAAACATCAATGTAGAGTATATACATCATACAATATATACACTTCAAATATACTAGTTAGATATTATAAACAAGGGGTTACTGGTGGCAGTGGGAGTACGGAGAGGGGAGATCTCCTGTATCAAACCAAACTACTGACTACTCCTGTATCCAACATAAACCCAGAGTACTCCTGTATCCAACCTACCTTACTTCTACTGTAGTAAACCTAAACCCTGAGTTCTTCTGTATCCAATCTAAACTATGAGTACTAATGTATCAAATCTCAACTCTTAACTACTTCTGTATCCAACCTAAACCTTGAGTTCTCCTGTATCCAACCTAAACCCTGAGTACTCCTGTATCCAACATAAACCCTGAGTACTCATGTAACCAACCTAAACCTGGAGTACTTCTGTTTCCAATATCCAACCTACCTTCTGACTACCCCTGTAATCAACCTAAACTCTGAGAACTTAAAATCCAACCTAAACCCTGAGCACTCCAGTATCCAACAAAAGCCCTGACTACTCCTGTATGCAACCTAAGCCCTGACTACTCCTGTATCCAACCTAAATCCTGAATACTCCTGTATCCCACCTAAACCTGAGATTTCCTGTATCCAACCTAAACCTGAGATTTCCTGTATCCAACCTAAACCTTGAGTACTTCTGTATCCAACCTACCTCCTGACTACCACTGTAATCAACCTAAACCTTGAGTACTTCTGTATCCAACCTACCTCCTGACTACCACTGTAATCAACCTAAACCTTGAGTACTCCTGTATCCAACCTAAACCCTGACTACTCCTGTATCCAACCTAAGCCCTAACTACTCCTGTATCCAACCTAAACCCTGATTACTCCGCTATACTGCCTACACCCCTATTTAATCCGCCCAGAGGATAAATGAAGTCTATAACTGGTCTCCCTAGTCTGCCTCCACCCCTATCCATCTAAATATCTGAAATTAGACTCATCTATATGCATTCAATCAGAATGGGGAGGATGGGAGGATCGTAGGTGTCTAGTAGGGGAAGGAGAAGGGGGGGAGAGATACTTAAAACGTATGATTTGATACCTTTTTCATGTAAAGCAGTTGAATTTAACGTTAATATTTAAATATAACAAATTGACTACAGGATTGGGAATATTTATAGGTTAAAAA